TGATGGCAGTCATCGGTCCTGTGCCCCTGGTGCCGATGGAAGCGACAGTAGGGGAACTGAGGGTTGATAGCGTGTACCTCCGGGGGTGCGCGAGAGTCGCGCTCGACGAGGCCCCTCTCCTCGGCAAAATCGAGGATGATGCTGACGGGGTGCGTCAGTGGTGTCCGAGGGCGGTCCAGGAGAATGGGCTGGGCCCAAGTCTTAGGGTTGCTCTTATAACCTCCCCCGGGCTTGGCTTGGCCTTGCCGAGGGCGGTCATCAGAGGGTCCCGAAACCTTGGGGCGATTTGGAGGAGCCCCCGGTCCTCGGTTATGCTTGTTGTCAGCCCTCGGGGGCTGCTGGTCCGGATGCTGGTGATACTTCTCCACCTCCTCGGCCTCAGCATACCGGTCCCCCCGCTGCAGGACCCTTATGTAATCGCGAGGGGGTTCAATGATGAGGCTCCTTGAAAAGTTGCCGGTGCGGAGGACGGTTTGTAGGAGGGCCAGGAGGGTCCCGTCATCAGCACCGTCGACCTTGTCGGCCTCCGTCCTCCAACGCTCCAGGAAATCCCGAAGGGTCTCATCCTTCTTCTGGCGTATTGTTAAGAGGTGGGAGAAGTGCTTCCTTGTGCGACGCCTCCCGGCGAATTGTGTCAAGAATCGTTGGGCGAGTTCTTGCCACGAATCAATGCAGCCCTCGGGCAGCCTGTTGAACCATTCGTATGCTGGTCCCTCTAAGGTGGAGAGGAACCAACGACACAAATATTCGTCTGACGCCCCCACCATCATCATGCTGTTCTGGTACTTGCTGTAATGTTCCTGGGGGTCCGTCTTCCCGCTGTAGGGCTGTATGTGTTGCCCTCGGTATTTCTCCGGGATCCGGGCCGCCAATACCCTTGGGGTGAATGGCGTCCGAGTCCGGAGCTGTATGACGGGTTCCCCGGAGCCCTCGGCCACCTTCTTCTGTAATTCCTCCATTTTGGCCATCATGGCCTCGTATTTGAGGTCTGAGTGAGGGGTGGAGGTGGTGGCGTGAGCTTTGTTGGACTCCATCTCGTCAAGCCGGCGTTGGAGGGCCGCAATAATCTCGTCCTGAGGGTCCCTCGGGAGGGTCTCCGCCCCCTGCGAACGAACCCGGGCCGAGTGGGCCTGGTTGATTTGGTGCCGAGCATCATCGGCATGAAGGGGTGCCTTGCCTTTGTCCCGAGGGGGACGCTCCTCGTCTGCCCTCGAAACAGATCCCCCGCTTTCCTGGGGCCTTTGGAGTGCTTTCCCCCCGAGGCGGTCTTGGACCCCCCCTCCGAGCCGGTTGAGGGCGGAAGTCCGGGGCCTTTCCCTGTTGTCATTATGGCGGTCCCGGGACTGAACTTCCTGGGAGGATGTATCTTGGGCCACCACCCCTTCATCATTTCTCACCCGAGGGGTGGGATGTCCGAAGGGGTGTGGCAGAGGGGGAAGTATGATGTTTTCCCCGATCTGAGGGTGAGCTGGAGCCAGGGTGCCGAAAGCACCCGGGTTCTGGGTGAGCGTTTGGATGAAGGCGGAGAGCGCCGATTGTACGTCGATGGTGAGAACCGGAGGGCTGACTTGGTCATCGCTCCGGTTTTTCTTCTTGGCCTCGATGCCGAGGCGGGCATCGGGGGCGTTTTGTTGGATCTGAAGGCGTAGGTCGACAGCCGCCTGTTCCAGCCCAGCGAGGACACCGCCCTCGGGAGCCCTGTGAGAGGCTTCGGGGGCGTTGACGTCGCCGAGGGGCAGGTTCTTGTCTTCTACGTTCTTTGAGTTGGCACGTGTTGTCCTCACCATTTTGATAGAGGGCTAGTGTTTGTGTTTGGTCGAGGGGGAGGGTTTCTTACTCGATTGTTCAACCTCTCAACGAGAGCACCAAATGATGGATAGTCTACCCGGGGGTATATATCCGAAGGGTTATTACGGGGAATAACTTAGAGAGAAGTCAGAGCAAACAAGTAAGAGAGAGAGAGTGTATTATAAAGGTGGAGCGTTTTCAGCGTGGTTACAAATGGGGAAATGGGGTGCTATTTATAGTAGCAATAAATGCCGGGCAGGGACACGTGTCAAGCGCTCATTGGCTGAGGGGTCACCTCAACTGGTTGGCGCTGGCAGCCGCATGTGGCCGCATTTAATGCGGCTGTTGGATGGGACGTCTGTGCAGAGTACGGTGATCTGTACGCATGTGAAGCGGATATCTTGTCGAGTGAGATGCCTTCGGCTATAGAGCAGTAGCCGAGGGCTCTCCCTCCCGATGGCACCCCTGGTGCCGAGGGCTTACAGTGCCGAGGGCTGCTGTTTTCGCCGTTTTCTCCCAGTTTCTTAGTTTGCTTGAGAAACCCGCTCTGTGATAATTTGGAGCCTTCGGCCAGGGGCCGAAGGCACCCCTGTGCGTTGTGCGGACTGCTTGGTACTCCGGGCGCTGTGAATTAGGCCTGTTGGGCCTTTTGGGCCTGTTGGGCCTTTGCGGGAGTAGTAGGAGTCTGTGGGCCGGGGGTTCCCGGGCCATATACTCCATCAATACACAATAGTTTGATTATATCTATTAGTTATAGCGTCAAAGTAAGGTATATGAATAGTGCAAAAATCACAATGTTGCAAAGAACGGAGAATATATTTTCTCTTCTGCGCAAGTTTCATTTATAGAACTTTTAACATTATGACTCTATATGTCAGTCAACTCGGGCCATGCATGAATCCAACCACTTAATTTTTACTTCATTATTCTGGAAGTCATTTTTGATCATATTTTTCTGGATTAAGGAACGAAGTATATAGTTATATACCATGTATAATCTAGCGATTGAGATATATTTATAGCTCGTTTCTCTCCATTTTATGCACACGTTTCTAGCAAAGTGTAATCCCAAATTTATTATTTTTACTCCAAAATATGTCGTTCTTAAAATTAATTATTTAATTTGTAATATTTTTTTCTAAAATAATTTTGGTATCAACATAAGTGGGATTTTACCAATCGTATGAAAAGATATCAAATTAAATAATGTTAGGTTGAAATTAGCAGCGTAAATCTTTGTTGACAGAGTAGATATTTAAATTTATTACTACATATTTTATTTAACCAAACATTCCAGCTCAGCTGGTTACGAGGTTACCGTGCCTAGTGAGAGATCTCGAGTTCGAAACCCGCTAGACATATAAAGGGTTTGAAATTCAATGAGTTGAGTTTCAGCCCTGATTACTCCAGACTCCCAGCCCCCCTCCCCAGACCCCCTAGAGTTTAAAAAAATATACTACAATATAGAAATAGAAATGCCTTCACGGCTAATTCTTTTGAACTCATAATAAATTTTGTTCATCTTGATACGAATTGGTCGGTGTAACGTGATCTAACCGGCCTGCTTTTGCTTTTTTCATCCAATCTGGTCTGCTTTGTATCGTGATTTGATCAGAAGTGTGGAATTGAAACACACACACAAACTGGCATGTAACTGTGGCTTAAATTTCCAGCCTCCATATAACTAACATCTATCTACTTTTAAATTATTGTTGCTCCATTTCAAGTTTTCAATATTGTTCTTGTTCTTGTGTGTATGAGCTGTAAAGACAACTATTTATTTCTATTAATCGAGTTACACTTGCATTTATAATTATACACTACCTAGGACGTGAGTTTTTTGAATGTAATATATGTTTTGATATACTCCCTCCGTCCCACTAACAATGGGACAAGAGGAAGTGACACGCAAATCAATAAAAAGTTGTTCATGTGATTGATAAAGTAAGAATAAAGTAAGAATGATATAGAGCCACACAAACTTTACCAAATTTGATATGAGACAATCTTAGTGCGACGGATCGAAAAGGTAAAATGAGATAATCTCAATGGGACCGAGTTTCATTCTAAAATTAAAGATCCACTTTGAAGGAGTACTAGTAGATCGATATCTTGTACGATTCAATTTGAAGAAATTTCTATATGAATATGACCAAAACGTACACAAAATTTTAAAAAAAAGACTAAGTATGTTTTATTTCCCAAATTGGACTTGTTTAGCCCTATTAAAAGAATAAGTTGTTAAGATATGAGAGTTTCAATATAAAAGGTCAATTAGATAGGAGGAGTAGTTTAGATTTTAATCAAACGCTTTATTATTTCTCAATTTTTCGATATGACTTCAACACCCCCTTCAACACCCCACCTCACAAGCAGTCATTTCGTTGGAATCGTGTTGTCATTCATTTTTTCAATCGGTTCGTCATTATCATTTTATTATCATCATTTTTCATAGGGGCTCACATCATGATTATGAACTAATTTTGCTCTGTTATCATGTTAAAACTTGATGTTCCATTCTGAAATGTCATCCTAATATGAAAAGTAGCTCAGATCTTGATATTACACTTTATTACTTTTCAATTTTCTGGTGTGGGAATTCGATAAAGTTGATTATAAATTCCCAAAATAGGCATGAACGAGTCTTATTTTGGAAATAAAAAGTGTAGTCCCATTTATGAGTTTTATCCTTGTTTTAGTCATATATGTTAATATTGAGGGTGAAACGTGACTTTTAAGAGGTAGCGCGTATTTTAAAGATATTATTATGTTAAATTTGTTTGGTAATAAAACGGGAACAGATTGGAATAAATATCGACTGAAAAGGGAAATTAAAAGACAAGTATTTAAAAAACATACGCAGTACATAGTACTACCTCCGTTCCTTACAACTTTGTCAACTTTCCTTTTTCAGATGTCTCACTAATTTTGTCACATTCCCATTTAAGTAAAGAATTTGTGGTTCCAGGTAATTCTCTCTTCTCTGCACAAACCTCAATCACAAAATTTTTACTTTATTAATCTCCATTCCAATTTTATCGAATGTCCCCGAAGGGTCTACTTTATTAATGTCCATTCCGATCAAACCTGTCAAAGTTTGGATATAACAAAATTGAAGTATTGACAAGGATATGTGCTCATGGGATAACAACAGTTTTTTAAAAGAAAAGGTGGCCGTTATTTTAACCAAGAGGAGGACGGATATCGGAGTCAACTCCATTATAAAACGCATATGCAATATCCACCGATACCACCTCTCTCTGCCTTTAATTTTGTTTTACTTTTCTTCTTTCTCCTCTTTTCGATCTCTATCTTCTTTCTTTCTATTTGAAGGGCTAGCTTTCTCAGTATTCACATTGAAGCAGACAAAATCTTCACGTTTTTCTACCCACAAATCACAAGTCAGAAAGAAAGAAATGGCCGGTGGTGGAGTTGGGCCTGGTCCCGGAAATGGCAAAGAATACCCCGGCAACCTTACTCTCTATGTCACTGTTACCTGTATTGTTGCTGCCATGGGCGGCCTCATTTTCGGTTACGACATCGGAATTTCCGGTACGCCACACGTCTATACGTACATACATAGATACGTACATCGATCGGTCGAAAAATTTTCATTAGTTATATTTGCATGATGTACCTACAGATGTAGTACATTTCATTGTAGAAACTCCTTAAAATTCTTCATAGTGTTGTTTTTCTATTCAAAAATGACATTACCTATTTCCCATGTCTACAAGACCATAGAAAGTTGACCCCTATGTTTTCTAGTAAAAATCAATGAGAACTTGTAGTTTTCATGTTGAAAGTTATGATTTTGTGTTATTGTCACAAATATATCTAAAACAGTTATAAGATCGTGAACTATTTCTCCTATCATGTTGATCTTGAGCATTCAACATTTTGTTGTTCTCAAGTATGTGTTTATTTGTGATTTCTTGAATTTTGTGTGAAACAAATGTGATTATAGGGGGCGTGACATCAATGGACACGTTCTTGGTGAAGTTTTTCCCGTCTGTTTATAGGAAGAAGAAGAGCGATTCATCGACGAATCAATACTGCAAATTCGACAGTCAAACGTTGACCATGTTCACGTCGTCGCTGTACTTGGCCGCGCTCGTTTCTTCGCTGATCGCGTCAACGGTGACCAGAAAACTTGGCCGGAGATTGTCCATGATGGCCGGCGGTATCCTCTTCTGCGCCGGAGCTCTCATTAACGGCTTTGCTCAGAGTGTCGGCATGTTGATCATCGGCCGTATTCTGCTCGGTTTGGGTATCGGATTTGCTAATCAGGTAATTAATTTAATTTAATTTAATGCGCTTAAAGAAGGAAGAAATTAGCGGTTTCGCTTTGATCCGGGATTGATTTCGGGTGCCTTTTTTCCAAGTTAGTCAACATAAATGGCGCAATTTGTCAATACAGGATAAAAAGGGATTACACTCGATTATGATTAATTAATCTAGGTGTATTGCTTAAAAGGGATTCCCAAGTTCTTGAGAATTTGTCGCCTAGGGAGGGAAAAGTCTGTTTTTACTTAACCCGTTTTAGGGTAATTTCCTTATTATATTTATACTTTTGATTTTATTTATTTAAAAAGAAGGATGACACTCCATCCGTGCGGAGTCTCTCAGTCTTAATCGAATAGTTAAATGAGAGAATGTAAATTGAACGTTAATCAGAAACTGACGGATTTTATTTATTTATAGATTATGAAGACTACTTGATAATAGAGTCTCTTTGCGCACACATTAAGGCGTGTATATGCCACACAAATATTACCATAAACCTTTTCTAAAAAATTGCTTAACAAATTGTCTTTATACATAAACAATTGCCGGCTACATAAAACGTGTATAATTGACATGTACAAATTAATTTCTCCTTGATAATAAGGGAAATTAGCAATTTTGTCCCGTAACTTTAGTCACTTTCAAATTTAGTTCTGAAACTAATTAATATTTGCGATTTAAGTACTTTCCCCTGAAAATTACAATTTTTGGCGGTAGTATACCGGAAAATATGTCACAGGCGTCGTGGAAAAGTCTTGAAATTGCAAAAAATTACTCCGTCGTAGTATTAGTTACAGAACCAAATTTGCAAATGATTAAAGTTACACGACCAATAATGATATAAGTCGAAAGTTGCAGAACTAAAATTGCAAAAATCTCCCTGATAAAAATAAGGATCTTTTCACTATAATATTCACTTTTAATAGAGCTAATTTGTCCCGAAAACTTGACCTTTCCTTTTCAATTGTCTTAAAATAATTTGTCATTTTCATTTAAAATATGACGTAATAACATGTTGTTAAAGTAGTTTTTTTATTTTACAAAAATCTAAATTACACGTTTTTTATTTTATTATTTCACGTGCTAAGTTAAACTTCACCAAATTTAACTTCATAACTTGCAAGAGTAAATGTACTTTTGAAAGAAAGGGTGCAAGGGCAACCTCAAATCTGAATTTGCGTTATAACTTTAATGAGAAGATTCCATACGAAGTTTCTGAATTTGCGTTTTAGAGTTTGAAAATTTATGAAAAGACCCCACCAATATTTCAAATTGCACGCATGCCCCACCCACTTGAAGTATCCCCTGAACTGAATCTAATACGGAGTATTATAAAATTGGAAAGTTGGGCCCGCGGGCAACTCCGAGGATTCAGTTGGAAAAGTGTTAAAACGTGTGGATTTGTAAGGTCTATAAATTGAATGATTACTTCAGAATTCTATATCTTAAAAAGAATTATTTCCTTCAATTCAAATTATATAATAATTTAGACTAATCATTAATTCATTTCACGTACATTTAAGGAAATACTAGAGGACGATAGTTAAAGTAATGAAAGTATGAAAGAGATGAAATGAAAAAAGTAGGAAACTGAAAGAGAGAATAAAAACGTAAGAAAGAAATATGAAGAAATAAAGTAAAACTTTATATTGTTTCAAAAAAAGTAAAACTTTATATATATATATGGAAATAGTCAAATAATAAAAATTTCCTATTATTGAAGAGTGAGAGGGACCCTTTGATATTCAATTGTTTTAAGATTAATACTTGAATAGTCAACAAGGTGAGTGCAATATCCCTTTTAATTAATTGGGTATTAGTTTGAATTGGTGGTATTAGTACTAGCTAGCAAGGACATCATTTTAATTAAAAATCATAATAAACTAACTAAAAAAGAATACGATTACCAACCACTGAGTATGATGGAGTATCTTTATATTGACAACAAAATCATTTTTACAAATAAGTAAACTAATATTCTAACTCTTCTAGATATTACCAAACAAGCAAAAAAATGTAGAGCCAATTCCCTAAATATGAGTAAAAAAATTTGAAATTCCAAAATAGAACTATCATGTTTTTTATTCCTTGAATATCACTAAAACATGACATTTTTTTTCAAATTTGGTAGATTACTCCTATTCAGAGAATAAAAAAATATGATACTCCTATCTTGAAATTTTAAAACGTTTTTGCTCCTATTTAGAGCAATTTCTGAAAAACGTACCATGTGACTATATGAGCATTGTTTAAAACAAAACTTTCAACTCATGTGTGAACTTAATTACTACAATAATAATGAGTCCATAGACTAGTAGACTACAGGTAGTATGTAACAATATATGTGAAAAAAAAAATTATGTCCCAATAATCATTGTGAAAACTAACCATAGACTATACGTTCATATTTTATTATCCCCCGTATAATTCGGTAATTGACACCAGCTGCCGCTTGACTACGGCTACCGCATCATCACTAGATAGGAATTTAAAAAAAAACAATATTTTTTTTTGAGAAAGAGGGGCAAATAAGCTTATGTACTAACAAAAAAGTCAAATAAACCCTTATATAGGAGGTTACGTCCGGCCATTGTCATTTGGGGCGGTTCCCGGTGGAAATTGTTTATGCAATTTTTTGAGCATATTATTCATTAAGTATAGTTTACTCATACCAAATTTCAGCTAAAACTTCAATCGGGAAGACATTCAAATGAATTCTTGAAGATAACTGCGCAGTTAAAAGCGCAATTATCTTCAAGAATTTATTTGAATGCCTTCCCAATTGAATTGTTAGCTGAACTTTGGTATGAGTAAGGTAGACTTAATCAATAAGATTCTAAAAAAAATCATCAAAAAATTCCACCGGGAATTGCCCCAAATGGCAACAGTCGGATAGAATCTCTTATATAAGGCTTATTTGACCTTTTTTGTTAATACGACGGCTTATTTGCCAATTTTTCCTTTTTTGTCATACTCTAAAGTTCTAATTTTTCCTTTTTGAACGTCATATACTGTATAAGGTTTTCATTTGACTTTTAGTAAACAATTACTCCTTCCGTCTCCGAAAATTCTTTCCACTTTGACTTCCCACTGTGTATAACCAAATAATCAGTCAAAATTTAACATCTTTGACTAAATAAAAAATGAACAGAGGGAGTATATAAAGAGAGATTAGAAGTAAATTGAATTGATCCGAGAATAGTAAAGTGGGACTTTCAATTTGGAACAGTCTCAGAGGTCGTGTGTGAGTATTAGTTTGTGACTTCATTTCACAAATTAAGAATGATTGTTCAATGGCAATAGATCAAAATGTGTACAAAAATTGTAATACAAATATCAATTTCCATAACAATTGGTTGTGTCAAAATGTGCAGGCTGTGCCGTTATACCTTTCAGAAATGGCACCGTACAAGTACAGAGGAGCACTAAACATTGGCTTTCAACTCTCCATTACCATCGGAATTTTGGTTGCCAACGTGCTGAACTACTTCTTCGCAAAGCTCCACCAGGGCTGGCGGCTGAGCTTGGGTGGAGCAATGGTCCCCGCCCTGATCATCACCGTCGGCTCTCTCCTCCTCCCGGAGACCCCGAACTCCATGATCGAGCGGGGAAATAAGGATGAAGCCAAGGAAAAGCTGAAGAGAATTCGGGGGGTCGAAAACGTGGACGAAGAGTTCGAAGACTTGGTGGCGGCGAGTGACGCTTCCAGCCTTGTTGAGAATCCATGGAGGAACCTGTTGCAGAGGAAGTACAGGCCGCAGCTCACCATGGCCATCGTCATCCCCTTTTTCCAGCAGCTCACCGGAATCAATGTCATCATGTTTTATGCCCCTGTTTTGTTCACCACCATTGGCTTTGGAGATAATGCAGCGCTCATGTCGTCGGTCATCACCGGCGGGGTTAACGTTTTTGCTACTTTGGTCTCTATTTTTTATGTCGATAAGTTGGGAAGAAGGTTCTTGTTCCTGGAGGGTGGCTTCCAAATGCTTATCTGCCAGGTAAATTCCATGAAAAGTGTCTCACCCATTCATACAATGACCAAACATAAAAGTTGGAAACGATTAAGGTATAGGAATTTTTTTAATTGGATTGAAATTTTATAGTTTGATCTAATTTGATCTAATTTGATCCAGTATAATTTTCTTAAATCTGTTTTGATATGAATATGAATTGGCATGATCTGATTTAGTAGATTCTTTTTTATATGTTGAAACTAAAATTAGTTCAATTACTACTAAGTAATTTAGGCTTTATGATATAGTTATACTTAAGTATCCATCCATGAATACTTTAACATAACCCCAAAATTGTATGTCAATGGAAACCTTTTGATTTCTTAACTATACACATCCTACTTTTATAGTCTTTCCAAGTATATATATCAAAATCATTTCATATAAAATTGTATTAAATTCATATCAATGTAAATTTTCAAAACATTAACTTTTTCTCAGTTTTACGCATACCAAGCGAAATATAATTATGATGTGGAACTTATTTGAAAATCAATCACATGATCCATATGATATAAGAAATCTTTGTGGTGCATTTTACAATAAGAGAGTAAATAGATGTCCACGAAGTTGTCAAAGTGTTTAGGGGCCGGCGTTTGAATAATATGTAAGCAAAATAATTTAAGTATTTTTTTTTGAATATGTATTAATAGTTGCATCACTTTCATAATTGTAAATATCATTATATCAAAATATTTTGCGAATATATATACTCTAACGTGTTCACCTTCTTTGTCTTTTTCGTTTATATTTTTTGAATTACTTTAGTCTCTTAGATTGTTCCATACCTCTACCGTGTTCACCTTCTTTGTCTTTTTCGTTTATATTTTTCGAATTACTTTAGTCTCTTAGATTGTTCCATACCTCTACATTTTCTCTTAAGAGGTAGAAAATTCTAGGTGTAACTAATAAAAATGGAGTATCTATTCAATAACAAATAAATACATACAAGAACGTAGAACTATTACACTATGTAGCACGGAAACTCTTGGGAAAGAGTACGTTTCCCGTTTCGGAAATTCTCGGAAACTCTCTGGAAACTCTCCAAATAAGCGTTTTTTGAGCAAAAGTTGACGTTTCCCGTTTCCCGTTTCCTTATGATTTTCACGTTTCCGTGCAACATAGCTATTACACCTATAAAGATTGATTAGTTTTGCATTTTAAATTGATTAATGTTTTGTGCAGATTGCTGTTGCAATATGTATAGCATTGAGGTTTGGAGTGAATGGAGATCCTGGAAGTCTACCCAAATGGTACGCCATAGTGGTGGTGATATTTATATGCACATATGTTGCAGGATTTGCTTGGTCATGGGGGCCTCTCGGCTGGCTGGTGCCTAGCGAGATTTTCCCGCTCGAGATCCGATCGGCCGCTCAAAGTATCACCGTCTCAGTTAACATGATTTTCACGTTTTTGGTGGCTCAAGTGTTCCTCATAATGTTGTGTCATCTCAAGTTTGGTCTGTTCATCTTCTTCGCCTTCTTTGTCGTCGTCATGACTATCTTTGTGTACTTCTTTATTCCTGAGACGAAAAACATTCCCATTGAGGAGATGGTGAGTGTGTGGAAGGAGCATTGGTTCTGGTCTAGGTTTATGACTGAGGTTGATTGTCCAGCTACTAAAGGTGCCGTTGAGATGGGAACTAGTGGTGATGCTTATAAAAGAGTGTGAAATTACTATTCATGTATGCATGTACAATATATCAAGTGAAGTTTTATTCTTGTTTTCTTAGAGCATCTCCAATGCTATAGTGTGCACGGTGCACATGTGACATGAAAGATAACCACATAAATATTAGCAAATAAATTATCTCTCTCCTTATTTGAATGATTTTATACAATTTTGGTAAATTTTCCCCTGCAATGTCAATCAACATCTAGACGGTCTTCTTGACATTGTGGGGAAAAACTTACCAAAATTGCATAAAAACATTCAAATAAGGAGATAGAGAATTTATTTACTAATATTTATGTGGCTATCTCTCATGCCACATGTGCACCGTGCACATTGTAGCATTGGAGATGCTCTTAGCGTGTGATATGTCCATTTATTAGATGCTGATGTCAAGTGAATGCATAGATATTCAATTATTTCTTCTATGTTCTCTATCTAAAAAGAAAATATATGCAAATATAACTCAATTTTCAACCATCAAGTTTTCAAGTCTCTTAAAGGTGTGAATTTCGTCTTTTAATTACAAAAAGATCTCATCAAACAAACCACGGGTTACCTTGTAAGAACTTAAATGTTTTTATGTGTACACTCTTATATATATTTCATACTACGGACATAATTTCAGGAGAACAACCATTAAATTTTTGGTAGCGCGTGTGTCTGCCATTTTATTTAACCAGGGGCGGACCGTAATACAGACTCAGGAGGTTACCGCCCCCCAACAAGAATTTTTGTAGTGTATATATATATATATATATATATATATATAGAAAAATAATTTTCTCTCTCCGAAAAATATTTTGAACCCTTCAAAAAATATTTTCGCCCCCCAAGATCACTTTCATGGGTCCGCCCCTGATTGTAACTAATTGTAATAGAGGAAAAGAGCATTTCCATTAACTTTCCTTTGAACACTTTAGTATTGATAAAAAGTAATGGAAATAAACTCAGGCCGTTTATCTTAATTTTGTAAAATGGACTGCACTCTCTTATTCTCTTGTGTATTGTGATTAATCTCTATGTGACAAACTTCTATTCCGATGCATTGCTTGGATTGGCACATTTTTTATAACTTTTACCTATATCAAATTTATTTGGTATAGTTGTATTTCAATTTAATTCAAACTTATACGAGTATTATGGTCTACCCTTCCAAGCCCAATCAATTTCTATTGGGGGCTAGCAATCTTTAATACAGTGTCATATTGGGTGAAGGTTTAGTCCTGTATTGTGAAGATGACTCTAGTATTACATCATAATGAAATTCTGCCTTCTTTGGGCAATTACAAATATGTGATTTAACACTAGAGACGGAGTAAAAATGAGAGGTAGAGTGGGCTAGACAGTAAAAATTACTTGAATACACACATAATATATGCATATACATGTTTATTTGTGTGATATAAAATTAATTTTAATAGGGAAAAAGACATAAATAGGAGTAAAACATATAAAGGGAAAGTAAATAGGACTTCGGACTTTTTAACTAATTAATGCATACGACTAAGTTTCATATGAAGGGACAAAAATACCCTACATCCCCGACTTGATGTACGTTTTCTCTACGAAACAAAAAACAACTACTCCGCCACCTCCAACAATGAACATCAAACTTGAACCGTCCAAACTCCACCGTCAGACCTTAGGTGGAAACGTCCTATAATGATATCAAATTTGTTTATTATATTTCCTTCTTCTAGTTAACATTGTTAAAAATGTAAATATAATGTCATACAAAGTGACATTATTGACAATGTATTATAATGTCATTATATGAAAATGTAATATACAATGCCATTATATGACAATGTAATGACATGGTGTCATTGTTTGAAAATTAATACCATTGAGTAAAAAAAACAGCAAGTCACAAAAAGTGAGAATGTTAACATAAATTACTAGCATTGTATGTAGTAATTATTAAAAACATGACATTGTGATATTTTAAAATTGTCTTCCTTTATAATATTGAGATAAAATGACATTATCATGACATTGTAAAAGAAGTGGCAATGTGAAAAACTATCACAATATCAAAAAATTGTCGCAATATCAAAAAAATGACAATGCCATAAAAATGACATTGTAATAATATAAATATCATATTGTCAATGTCAGTGACAACGTGACATTACAATATTAACATTGTAACATTATTAACTAATATTGTGACATTTTTATGCCATTGTAATTTGTAATTAATTACACAATATTAAAAACCACGTTAGAAATTGGAAATGAATGCCAAAGATATTGAAACTAATACTAACATTTTAAGAATTTAATTTTAATAAACTATTTCATTAAGGAGATTATTTATGACTAAGTTATTCCATATAGTTTATACACAGTAGTCGTACGTTGTATTATAAAATAAAAAAAGAAAAAATCAAGACAAAAAACAAAAAAAAATCGAAAGAGAAAAGGAAAACAAAGCAAAAAAAATTGGATACAAAAATATAAACTAATTCCATTGTTGAAAATTAATGTCATTATCTGAAACAACAAATAAAATTGAAATTAAATAATAAAATTAAATAATGAATGGATACAAATAAAATACAATTTGTAAAAGAAAAAATAAATATTTAGATAATAAATTGCAAAAGGGTAACAACATAATAAAGTAAACAAAAACGAGCTCCAATAACACCAGTACGTAGAGAATGCAAACAAAACATAGATGTGGAAGAAAATGAGGATTTTCCGACTAAATTCAAGTCAATTTCCAAAAAAGTCATCACTCTTGTATAGGGACAAAAATGTGACTAACAATTATCATATTTTTGTGGGAACATGATGTCACCGTAAAATTTTCATATCACTGCCAGATTTCCATGTAACTAATAGATTTCACTACCAGATTTTCATGTCATTAATGGATATCCCTGTCACCGTAAAACATGTCCCTGTGAGTGTTGGATAATTTTCCGGTGACTTTTTCCGGTGATTTTGAAAAAAAAAGAGAGAAAAAGAAAAAAAATCATTAAAAAAATCCGACGACTATTACGGCGTTGGTTTCCCGTGACAAATCCGGTTGTGACTGGGCAGGTGTGGGGGAGGGGGGTTGAGGCAAATATTTGATAGGAGTATAAATTACAATGAAAAAAATGATGAATTAGTGAAATTATATATTGGTCATATTTTTGGAAAAAAGGAAAAGTAATCACAATTTTGTATTTCATAAAGCTATAGGTAATATTTGTACCCTTATTCCGAAAAAAAAAATGAAGCAAAGAGAAAATTAAAAATATTAATTGAAATAAGGTCCGGTTCACGCCGCAAACAAGCTGCAAAAAATCAGGTCCCCCGCTGAGCAAAAAAAAAATCAAAACAAAAGAGAAAAACAGGAAGAGGAAGCCAAGGAGAAGAAGAGGGGAGGATGCTGACTGGCCGTTCGGGTCTGACGCTGTCACATGACTGTCCTGGCTCTCTCATTAGGGTTCCATGTGCCACATCCGTTGTTTGGCCAAGAACTCGTTGGGCTCTAGAAGTCGGTGAGTTTATCCGACAGAAAGAGGATAAAAAGAAACAAGGGGCAAGCCGCACGAATGAGCTATTAACTATTAGGGATAAATTTGGAACAAATGAAAATTATATAGTCTTATTTAGGAGTTAAAATCATTTAGCTCCTATTTGAGTACATACGGATGCTTTTGGTCATATTCACAACCATTTCTCATTTTAATACTCCCTCCGTGTCGGTGATTTCTTCCAATTTTACTTTTTGGGCCGTCCCAATTAATTCTTCCAACTTTTCAAAAAGGAAATGAACACATACTAAAAATCCTATTTTACCCTCCCCAATTAAAAATCCTATCCCATTTCTATCTCCCATTTACCCCATCTGCATCCCTCTCTCCCATTTAACCCACCGCCTCCTCTTTCTCTGTCACTGCATCCATCTCTCTCAATTATTCCAACCATCTCCCTCTCTCATTTACTTCAATCGTCTCCCCTCTGTAAATCTATCTACCCTTCCGCCTCCCTCTATCTCTCTCTCACATTTTTATGGATTTAAACCCTAATACTTTGAATATGGACAATATTGAACACGAGATCGTCCCTGACAGTGAAGAGGGTCTTCTTCCAGAGGAAGCAGTGGCGTTGGATTTTGCAGACCCTATATTGGTACTCCATCCGAGGTGCATGGCTCAGAACTCCCCGAAAGAGGATGCCCTCCTCATAATCCCGGACAGTGAAAACGAGCTTCCCGAGGATGTAAGCGAAAAGCCTACAGATGTCGTGGGGGGAAACAGTGGAACCAAATCTGCTTGACGCAGAGACGTGGACATGCATCCTATTCGGAGAAGTCCCCGGCTGGAAGAGTTCCTAAAAATAATTTTGCCAAAATGGGAAATAAGGATGTGGGATGTGGACACAGATTAGGGGAGTTTCTTCTATACCCTACCTTAGTTTCTGGTTTAATTCGTACTCTATGTCCATTGTGTGATTTTTGGGGGAAGCAATGATGAAAAATGGTTTTATTGATGTTTATTGTGATGCATGTGGGTTCTACATGGTGGTTTGGTATGATAAATGGTAATTAGGCATACTGTGATGAAATTAGACCTTGTGTGTATTGGTCCTTTATGCATACTGTCATGAAATTGTCCCTTTGTATTCTGGTTCTTTAAGTAATACAAAGTGTAAGCTTCTTGTGCCAAATGTGAAAGTCACGTTATACAAAAATGTAAACTATGTGTGTACAAATATGGAAGTGTAGTGTATATTTTTATAGATTATGAATCACATGAATTCAAAAAGTATAAGGTGAAACTCGAAAAAAACTTGTCTTTAAAATACAAACTCTAACTTTTGTTTTAGATTAACAAATCTTTATTTGTAAATTGATAGAAAAGAAAAAATTAGATTTATTAGTAATTTAATTTGAATATGAAGAAAATATAGTAATCCTGATCGGACTCTTGGTATTTTGATGAAGGAGAAGATAATTGGAATGTGAGTCTCATTAGATTTTACTGTGATGTTAGGCTAAGATTTTAGTGTTCAAATGTAGTTACAAGTTGTAAAAGTACAAGATCAAAATATGTTTTATTTAGATAAGATCTTTGTCAAAATAAACATGCAAATGGTGTTTTAAATATATGGGGAGTATAAGAACTAACGATGCAAAGCTTATGCAAGTGAAAGCACAAAGCCTCTTTTTGGATGCCTATATCGTATCACCGGTTGTAAGGTGGGCACCGTACAATCAGGGGCATT